AAAAAAGTGATTGTGTGTACATTTTAACGACAATCGGCCAAACACTATTTGGATGAAAATATTCGTTTCTATAATATTTCAGACGTCATTGAATTAGTGTACCTCAAATAAAAAAAAAAAAACAAAGAAAGAAAACAAACAAAAAAAGAAAAGAAAAACAAACAAACAAACAAAAACTCCATAGGGAAACACTCTGTTGAGACAAAACCCTTATGCCGCTAGCTAGTGAGAGTGATTCCGAGAACTTTCTAATTTTGTTGAGGTCATGTGAAAACAAACTATATATAGATTGCGATTTAAGAAGTGTGGTTGCATTTATGATTTTATCTTTTTTGGCTCTGAAAAAGTATGATTTAACTTATTAAAAGGAATGCAGAATCCTGTCTGTCTTAACTAAAGATCATTACGAACGTTTAATCATCCACTTATCATTATGATTTATTGATATCATTATAGACTGTGACGTAACTCCGTTGTGTTTGGCTGATGGCTGGCCAATTTATCGTTATTTTTGATATGAACTGCAAAAGATTTTTATTAATACGCCCGCGTTCTTACGTTTCTCATTCATACCATAAACGAGTAATCTATGAAAGCTCGAGCAATTAAGGATTCACGATATTTGAAAATACCTTCGAATTGCATTCGCCTAAAAAGAGAATTTTCACATATCTCTCGTAGTGTAAGTCCTTTTAAAATTGCCCTCGTATTTAGACGATTAATTATACTTATTAAATGTGTTCATATTTTCTTTATTACAGTGATATAATTATTAACCCTCGGACGTGCAAGAGGAGGGGAGTGGGATGGATGTCGCTCCATCCCATAAGGCTTTTTCAAAGTTTTAGGCAATTTACTCTAAGGGGCTGGAACTTTTAGTAGCTGTTCCTTCACTCTCTGCGCAAATTTTACTATGTCTATTGCGTGTCCATCATTTTTGAAGTTGCCATGGCAACCATCAAATTTCATGTAGGTTTGGCCAAAAATCAACCCTTTTTGAGATAATTCTGTAGTTTTTTTTCCAGTTCTCTTTATCAAATTGCAGAAATTCGTGAGGTTGTACAATTCATAAGCATTCTGACTTAATTTTGTGTTAATTTCCCTTATTTCTTGACCTTTTAAGAAAATATTAAAATCTAAGATGGCAGGTCAAATGACGTCATTTGACGTCATGTGACGTCATAACCAGCAAAAATGATATTATGTTGTAGAGCAAGCTCGGGGCTATCTAATTAATTTAAATTTATTTCGCTCTACTTTAACAGTAAGAAAACCAAGAGGGGGTCCATCCAACCCCCCCCCCCCCC